GGGGGGGGGGTTTGCTAATATTCTTATTCACCTGTGTAGGCAAAAATCCTTGCACCGGCCCTGGCTGTGATGACTCCAGAGGAATCCTGTAGTGAAGGGGGAACTTCCTGATATCACATAGGTGTATCACTAAGAATAGATGGATGAATCCATGTTGCATTTTAATAAGAGGGAATCCCCCAGGGAAGGAGCAGTTAGAACTGCTGTATAAGGTCCTGGTGACAGGATGAAGGGGGGGGATCACCTGCAAGCTGAAGCAGTGACAACTGCTTTTTCAAATAGTGTCTATGGAAGAGCTCAATAGCCGGCATTCAGCGTCTTTGCACGAACGCCGTGCAAATTAATTTCGCGGCTTAAGCAGATGAGGAAGGAGGCGCTGCGTGATGTCAACCGGCAGGGAGACAGAGCTCCGCGCAGAAAGGTGAGTTCATTACAATATTACAAGAAAGGATGATGGCAGATGAGGTCTTACTAATGCTTTATATAGGGGCAGACTATGTCTCTCTCTCTCTGGAGTATATATGTCTTATAATATAAGGAAGGATGGAGACAGATGAGGTCTTGCTAATGCTTTGTACAGGGGCAGATTACGTCTCTCTCTCTCTCTCTCTCTCTGGAGTCTATACCTCCTATAATACAAGGAAGGATGGAGACAGATGAGGTCTTACTAATGCTTTATATAGGGCAGATTACATCTCTCTCTCTGGAGTATATACTTCTTATAATACAAGGAAGGATGGAGATAGATGAGGTCTTGCTAATGCTTTGTGCAGGGGCAGATTACATCTCTCTCTCTCTCTCTGGAGTCTATACCTCCTATAATACAAGGAAGGATGGAGACAGATGAGGTCTTACTAATGCTTTATATAGGGCAGATTACATCTCTCTCTGGAGTATATACTTCTTATAATACAAGGAAGGATGGAGACAGAGGAGGTCTTACTAATTGTGGCAGAGAACGTTGAAGACACAGAACACCAACGGAGACCAAGAGTGGTTTTTAGGACCTTTAACCAAGAGGTTCTTTATTAGGGGTTCTCAACAATAGAATATGGCAAGTGTAGTAGCAATCCGAGCAAAACAAAGGGCTAGAAACAGCAAGAGACAGAATGGGCAGAGTCCAGGGGAAGAGGGCAGTAATCCAGGCACAGCAAAGGGGTAACAGCAGCAAGGTACAACAAAAGAAGGTCATGGCTCACACTTAAGGCATCAGGTCACTCCATAGCAGAAGAGGGATCCACTTGGGATGGTAAGGCAGGAGGTGGTCAGTAGAGCTTGTCAGTTGAGCCTTTTCAGTGTTGGAGCAGGACAAAAGTTCACAGATACTAAGGCACTCCAAGTCCCAGTAGTCCCCAATCACGGAACACACCCATCCAGAGCTAGATGTCCCAGCAGTCCTCATCTTCTTCTAGTCTCTTTCCAATGAGACCCTCCAGCCATGAGTCTCCCATGTCTATCACTGAAGTAGAAACAACCTCTGGCTCCTCTGAGCACAAAGCTGCTATACTGTACCCGGAGCCTTAGCATTCTGATATCTGAGGCCAAATTACCGGTGACAAAAAGTCTAACTTTGTCCTGGTTTAGGATACAACATCTCCTGCGCTTCATGCTGATGGTAGCCTCATCTCCAGACCCCCTGTGTGAAGGACTTCATGGATCAATGTTGTAGATCAGCTGAGGCCTTTTGAACAGCTGAGGCCTTTTGAACAACTGAGGCCTTTTGAACAACTGAGGCCTTTTGTGGGAACTCACTGCCACAGGCGGTGATTTCAGCAAATAATGTGGAATTGTTCAAGAAACTTTTGGACGATTTCTTAAGGGACCGTAATATACAGGGGTACGGGTACTCCTAGAATGAGATCCTAATAGGTTGGACTTGATGGACTAATGTCTTTATTCAACCTCAAATACTATGTAACTATGTAACTATGAGGTCTTACTAATGCTTTGTATAGGGCAGATTACGTCTCTCTGGAGTCTATACCTCTTATAATACAAGGAAGGATGGAGACAGATGAGGTCGTACTAATGCTTTGTATAGGGCAGATTACAACTCTATCTCTGGAGTATATACCTCTTATAATACAAGGAAGGATGGAGACAAATGAGGTCGTACTAATGCTTTGTATAGAGCAGATTACATCTCTCTCTGGAGTCTATACCTCTTATAATACAAGGAAGGATGGAGACAAATGAGGTCGTACTAATGCTTTGTATAGGGCAGATTACAACTCTATCTCTGGAGTCTATACCTCCTATAACACAAGGAAGGATGGTGACAGATGAGGTCTTACTAATGCTTTGTATAGGGCAGATTACGTCTCTCTGGAGTCTATACCTCTTATAATACAAGGAAGGATGGAGACAGATGAGGTCGTACTAATGCTTTGTATAGGGCAGATTGCAACTCTATCTCTGGAGTCTATACCTCTTATAATACAAGGAAGGATGGTGACAGATGAGGTCTTACTAATGCTTTGTATAGGGCAGATTACATCTCTCTCTGGAGTCTATACCTCCTATAATACAAGGAAGGATGGTGACAGATGAGGTCTTACTAATGCTTTCTATAGGGGTAGATTAAGTCTCTCTCTGGAGTCTATACCTCTTATAATACAAGGAAGGATGGAGACAGATGAGGTCTTACTAATGCTTTGTACAGGGACAGATTACATAGTCTTATAATACAAATTCTTTGATTGCAGGGTCTGTATAATCTGGGGATCCTAGTAGAGGAAGGGGTCTCTCTTCCCCACTCCATGCTACGCAAACTTGGTTTCAACAGTTCTGTCTGTGCCAGCAACTACACCATTGTCATGGAGCTGTACAGAAGGTGAGAATTCATCGGTGACTGCGGATGGACTAGTCACTGTTCAATCTTCTCTCGTAGAATCTTCCATGCAATTAAATCTTCAGCTGACAATAATATGTAAAATAACCTCTACAATTCTTCTTTCCCACAATGTCTTTCTGGTATAAGTGTTTAGGATTAATAGCAGGGATGCACTGATACGAGTATCAGTGCCAATGCCGAGTATTTGGGTGAGTACGCGTCCAAATGTTCCGATGCCTAGCCCGATACTTGAGCTTCTGGTATCAGGAAGCCAGGCAACAAGTCATTACACGCTGCCTGGCTTCCTTAATGGGACGTCCGGTATCGTATTCGCGAGTACCCGAAAAAAATATCGGTGCTCGTACTGGATACAGAAACAACAGTATTGGTGCATCCCTAAGTAATAGTTTGACTGTGAGGGACATTAGAGTGTAAGCTCCTCTGTATAGAGACTGATGTGACTGTGGGGGGGACATTAGAGTGTAAGCTCCTCTGTACAGAGACTGATGTGACTGTGGGGGGAGGGGGACATTAGAGTGTAAGCCCCTCTGTACAGAGACTGATGTGACTGTGGGGGGAGGGGGACATTAGAGTGTAAGCCCCTCTGTACAGAGACTGATGTGACTGTGGGGGGAGGGGGACATTAGAGTGTAAGCCCCTCTGTACAGAGACTGATGTGACTGTGGGGGGAGGGGGACATTAGAGTGTAAGCCCCTCTGTACAGAGACTGATGTGACTGTGGGGGGAGGGGGACATTAGAGTGTAAGCCCCTCTGTACAGAGACTGATGTGACTGTGGGGGGAGGGGGACATTAGAGTGTAAGCCCCTCTGTACAGAGACTGATGTGACTGTGGGGGGAGGGGGACATTAGAGTGTAAGCCCCTCTGTACAGAGACTGATGTGACTGTGGGGGGAGGGGGACATTAGAGTGTAAGCCCCTCTGTACAGAGACTGATGTGACTGTGGGGGGAGGGGGACATTAGAGTGTAAGCCCCTCTGTACAGAGACTGATGTGACTGTGGGGGGAGGGGGACATTAGAGTGTAAGCCCCTCTGTACAGAGACTGATGTGACTGTGGGGGGAGGGGGACATTAGAGTGTAAGCCCCTCTGTACAGAGACTGATGTGACTGTGGGGGGAGGGGGACATTAGAGTGTAAGCCCCTCTGTACAGAGACTGATGTGACTGTGGGGGGAGGGGGACATTAGAGTGTAAGCCCCTCTGTACAGAGACTGATGTGACTGTGGGGGGAGGGGGACATTAGAGTGTAAGCCCCTCTGTACAGAGACTGATGTGACTGTGGGGGGAGGGGGACATTAGAGTGTAAGCCCCTCTGTACAGAGACTGATGTGACTGTGGGGGGAGGGGGACATTAGAGTGTAAGCCCCTCTGTACAGAGACTGATGTGACTGTGGGGGGAGGGGGACATTAGAGTGTAAGCCCCTCTGTACAGAGACTGATGTGACTGTGGGGGGAGGGGGACATTAGAGTGTAAGCCCCTCTGTACAGAGACTGATGTGACTGTGGGGGGAGGGGGACATTAGAGTGTAAGCCCCTCTGTACAGAGACTGATGTGACTGTGGGGGGAGGGGGACATTAGAGTGTAAGCCCCTCTGTACAGAGACTGATGTGACTGTGGGGGGAGGGGACATTAGAGGGTAAGCTCCTCTGTACAGAGACTGATGTGACTGGCTCAGTGTTCTCTGTACAGCACTGCAGTATATAAATGAAGTGTTCCAGCATTGGTTGGATATCACCTGGGGGGGCGGGATTGTTGGGTGTATGTCTTGGATATAACAATGTGAATGTGTTGTGCAGATGTCGGGATCATGAGAAGGAAGATTCGTATGTGCCGTGTAGCCTGGCTCTCCTGAACATCCACCTGCAGTATGTCTGGACATTTCATGGTCCCCTCCTCAAGGTGAGCTGAACGTCGCTGAGCGCAGATAACACTCATAGAAGATCCGTATTTACAAACATCCACAAGAAAGTAACTTGTTCTAGTGGTTGGATAAAGATCAGTCGGGGCCCATTCACACACTCACTAAACCTCTCCCTTTTTCCTGGGGCGGGAAGGGGCGTGGTGGTGCATTGAAGTCAATGGTATCGCAGCCACGCCCCCCACGACCTGTGGCAAAACATTGCTTGCGTTCCACTGCGAACGCAACAAAAATGCTGCTTGCTCTATTTTTTGCGTTCACAGTGGACCGGAGCGCAGGTAATGTTTCGCCGCACATCCGATCGCACTGCAACCATTTCTTGGATACAAATGTCCGTGAGTAAGCCTAACAAGACTTTCCAGTTCCTTGTTGCCTTTTATCAGGGTGTGGGGGCCCGATTGGGCCCCATTAGCCTTTGCTTGTTGTCCCGTAGGGCTGGTTTACAGTCTGTTGGCATTAACTCCTTCATTGCTGGTTTTCTTTCAGTTTTCCAGTGTGGCCGCCATCGCCATTGTCACAGCGCTCAGTCTGATGACAATTTTTGGAAGATGTCAAAACGCAGCGAGACGCCTTCAGCTGTCTGTATGATGGGACATCGCGTGTTTTGTGACTGTCATGCTGCGGGAGCCGTGATACTCCGTGGTCTCATGTAGTATGTTATTCTTCTCATGCTCAGAACTTTTCCAAGGGCTCTATTATGCCCATGACACAAATACAGGAGGCCACGCCTCTCAGAGGACCCGCCCACAGCGCAGCCAGCAACAAGAAATGAATCCTCCATCTTCCTGGAAACATATTTATTGTCTTTTCTATGAAAATGTATTACATTTCATTCAATGTGTTGGTGATATTTTCAAATCCTGGTCGGGGCCTTTTATTCCTTGTATGAGGAAAATAAGAAATAAAACATATCAAGTCAAATGTGAGTCTGTAATGTATTCCAAGTAGAATCACTAAGCCAATGTAGAGAATACAGACTGGGGCACCACTGACTGGGAAGACACAGGCACACTAGACAAACGCACAGACTGGGGTACCACTGACCGGGAAGACACGGGCACACTAGACAAACGCACAGACTGGGAAGACACGGGCACACTAGACAAACGCACAGACTGGGAAGACACGTACACACTGGGTATTGGCACAGACTGGGAATTAGCAGTCATTGGAGCAACAGAGGCAAGACCCGCCCCCTCCCCCTGCTCTGACCAATCAGCCTCTTTCCTGGGTTCAAGCACAGTCCTGCCTACTGCAGACTCCCAGACAGTCGTGGCACCACTGCTCCCAGCACCTCCTCCACCAATCTCAGAGACAGCGGCTGTGTCTGGTCCAGGCAAAGTCTCTGCAGAGCCCATGGCGCTCCTCTCTGCAGACTCTTCCCCCAGAAGCTCACAGTCAGCTACAGATTTCCCGCCAAGTGCATTGAAATCTGAAGCTTTGCTTTCAGCAGGTGCATCAGTGCAAGAGACCATTTCCTGCACCCCAAACTCTGAGGATATGGGGGTAGGGGTGGGGCTTCTCTTATAAGATTTCATGTAGTCACCTGAACAAAGGGAACTTTGCAGCAGGAGAGGCTGAACCTGAGCGGCAGGCTGGAAGAAACCGGCAAGGGGAGAGCAAAAATATTCTCAGCAGGGAGGACAGAAAAAGAATGGTGGCCTTGGGAGGCGTGTCTTATTTAAAGTATAAAATGAATAATAAAAGCTGCGCTGTGTGAATAAATCTACAAAGTATCAGATATAATAGATACTGGCCGTGAAACAATGTGATGCAATGTGAAAAGAATAACAACCAGAATAAACGCATGTGTATAACATGCACCTCAGTGCAAATAATATATGACTACAAAAATGTCCATAATCCCGGATCTTCAACACTAAGAAGATATAAAAGTGGATGTGAAGTCATCTCAGTCTCCTGTGACCATCAACAGAGACATCTTCTGGAACGCACGTCACCTCTAGCAGAGACGCACCAGGGATGTTCCTCTGATTATAACCAGGTAGAGGAAGCACCTGATGCCGAACAACTCCCAGTGATTTCCTCCTCTCAGGTACAGACTCCTACTGCAGCCTCAGAAGTTGAAAGCAGTCAGTTCCTCCAAATGGCCCACGCATCAAATAACAAGAGGAAACTCGCAGTGCAGATGGTTGTAAAAAGATACGACTCACATTTCATTGATAAAACAACGTGGTAAGCAGCCACAGACACTGCGTGCGATCGCTCGGATCCTATACTCCACCCTACGTACGTTACGTCAAAGGGCGCTACTTCATCAGGGGTGACATCATCAGGGGTGACTTCATCAGGGGAGACTCCATCAGGGGTGACATCATCAGGGGTGACTTCATCAGGGGTGACTCCATCAGGGGTGACTCCATCAGGGGAGACTTCATCAGGGGTGACTTCATCAGGGGTGACTTCATCAGTGGAGACTTCATCACGCCCCTTGACCTAACGTACGCAGGGTGGAGTATAGGAGCTGAGCGATCGCACACAGTGTCTGTGGCTGCTTACCAAGTTGTTTAGTGTAACTGGTCCTGTGATTGGATGAGGGGCGGAGCTAGACCCATTGGTATGCTGCCATGTTGGTGTCAGGAAATATATATACACGAGGAGAAGGCGCGCTGTCTCTTTACATATAAAGAAGCATTTACTAAGAGATTCCACCGCAGTGGCTCCGAATTCTCACAGGGCCACAAAAGTACAGAAATGACCCTCGGGAGATCCATATATGACACATATAAGTGATGAACACGTATGACGCACGTATGACGCAAAGCCGAGATTTATTATATTTTATTATTCATTTTAAATCTAAGAAACGTCAATAAAAATCTCAAATTCCAATTCAGCAAATTGACAACATTGTGCGAGTTCTTCCCTGCAGCCAATCCTGACCTCTGACCCCTGACCTGTGCAACACTTGGACCAGAGACAACGTATCGGGGTGTATGTCAGGTGTCGGTGATGACAGTCCGGGGGGTGTCACCATCATAAGATCGTCAGCAATCATGCGTGATACATAAGAACGACTTTCCTGCGTTGTTCTGATATAGAAATACATCAAAGCTGGAATACCGGAGAGTGAGACGCACATGCGGACTCTACCCCAGCGATAATCACTGTAATGTGCGTTATAGACAGAGGTGCAGCCCCAGTATCCGGGACAATATGGCAATCATCAGAATATTATCACGAGTCATCTTCATCCTCATACCTGGCGGGGAAAACAGAACGCAGTCAGTGTGCATGTGAGAGACAAAGTGTACAATGGTAAAGTGAGGGCCCATTACACCCTAGTGTGGGGAGAAACGCATTGGCTCTGTGATTTAATGCACGCTACCACTTAACGCACGCTACAACACAACGCATGCTACCACTCAACGCACGCTACTATGCACCGCAATGCTTGCTTCCACCCAACGCATGCTACAACACACCGCACGCTACCACACAACGCACACTACTATGAACCGCACGCTACCACTCAACGCACGCTCCAACGCAATGTACGCTTCCACACAAGGCATGCTGCCACATAACGCACACTACCACGCACCGCACACTACTACGCAATGCACACTACCACACAAGGCATGCTGCCACATAACGCACACTACCACGCACCGCACACTACTACGCAATGCACACTACCACACAAGGCATGCTGCCACATAACGCACACTACCACGCACCGCACACTACTACGCAATGCACACTACCACACAAGGCATGCTACCACACAATGCACACTACAATGCACCGCATGCTACAACACAAGGCATGCCAAATAACCACACACTGCCACACAACGTATGCTACTACACAACGCATACTACCACACAACGCACGCTACCACACAACGCACTCTGCCACACAGAGCATGCTGCCATGCAATGCATGCCACCATGCACCACACGCTGCCACGCACCGCACACTACTACGCAATGCACGCTACCGCACAAGGCATGCTGTCATGCAACACATGCTACCATACAACGCACACTGCAACGCACACTACCACGCAATGCACATTACCATACTTTACAGTGCAGGTGCGTTCCATTGCCATTCATTTGAATATCACCCCAAACGCACCTTCGGCTGCTATGCACTGTATCACAATGCGTCGTACTTCAATACTGTGTATTGCAGTGCAGCTGAAAAAGTAGTGCTAGCACCGCAACACACGACGCATTGCGTGTGGAGGTGCGTCTGGGGTGCCATTCGAATAAATGCAACACACCTCCCACACTGTAACGCATGGTAGGTGTATTTATGGAAGTGTGAATGGGGAATTCAGCTCTCCCCCTATACATCCATTACAATGGTGCTGCCGGCATTCTCCATTCATAGAAATGTGTCCCTGGCCATACACCGACATGCTGCTATTGCCCTGCGTTTATGTCCTATTGCTGGACAATTCTTCATTCATCAATGAGTCTCCATTACATGAATACCGTCCTGGCCATGGCCGCTGCATCAGCGAGAACAGCCAAAGCCTCGGCCAATCACTGCCCGATATTCATCAGCTGGTGGCATGCGTCCCCTCTAATGCTACCCGAGGAAAGTGCAATGCGTCTGATTGGGGTGCTGCTGTATGTGAGCCAAGCTCATCGGGATGTATTCCTGGATATTGACTTCTTAGAGGTACGTGAGGTATTAGAGATTGCCGATCCCGGGAATATCCAATCGCCTTTTTTGGTAAATTTTTTGATAAGGGGGGGCTGATGACGGGTTAGCACCCCCTGCAAATAACTGTTAATATCTCTATTTCTGTGTGAGATCTAACGCAAACAACAGAGATCTAACCTGATCTAACAAAGATCTAACCAACTGCATATGTTTTGTTCAAAAATTTTGATATGGGGGGGCTAACCCGGCTGATGTTTTTCTTCTTTTGTTTCATATCTCTATGGGTTGGACTCGATGGACTTTTATCTTTTTACTATGTAAGCTCACTGCAGGAGTATGTGGCCCCCGAGGCTGACCATAATACCACAGGAAGTGAGGGCAGAATTCACTTCCTGGGGCTGGCCATAATACCACAGGAAGTGAGGGCAGAATTCACTTCCTGTGGCTGACCATAATACCACAGGAGTTGAGCGCAGAATTCACTTCCTGTGGCTGGCCATAATACCACAGGAGGTGAGGGCAGAATTCACTTCCTGTGGCTGGCCATAATACCACAGGAAGTGAGGGCAGCATTCGCTTCCTGTGGCTGGCCATAATACCACAGGAGGTGAGGGCAGAATTCACTTCCCGTGGCTGGCCATAATACCACAGGAAGTGAGGGCAGCATTCACTTCCTGGGGCTGACCATAACATCTTCCTCCAGGAGGCAAGCCTCGTTCTGAGGCTACTCTACAGATCACATGACCTTCCTCCAGGAGGCAAGCCTCGTTCTGAGGCCACTCTAGAGATCACATGACCTTCCTCCAGGAGACAAGCCTCGTTCTGAGGCCACTCTAGAGATCACATGACCTTCCTCCAGGAGGCAAGCCTCGTTCTGAGGCTACTCTAGAGATCACATGACCTTCCTCCAGGAGGCAAGCCTCACTCTGAAACTTTACCCACTGATATCTTACCGGAAAGGTTTACTCAGAGCAAACCTTTCAGGGAGAAAATGCCTCTCTCGCGGACATCAGGAAGCCGCTATCTAATAGAGGGAGACTCCCTGAACATCAGGGAGACTTGAGATCCCTGCCATAATACCACAGGAAGTGAGGGCAGAATTCACTTCCTGAGGCTGACCATAATACCACAGGAAGTGAGGGCAGAATTCACTTCCTGAGGCTGACCATAATACCACAGGAAGTGAGGGCAGAATTCACTTCCTGGGGCTGGCCATAATACCACAGGAAGTGAGGGCAGAATTCACTTCCTGTGGCTGGCGCATGCTTTAGAATATTCCACAAGACTTAAATAGCGGTTTTTGCCTTTGATCTGTTAGTTTTGGTTCTGATGAAGATGGTTTAACCATTGAAACGCATTGACCCGAAGGTATCCCCGGCCTGGTATGATGCTCTGATGTCCAGTCTGCGTCATGGCATATGATTGTTGTAGTACGCATGACTCTACATAGACAGACGGTATTACACCATCTATTCCCCAAGATTGTATTAAAATACTTTGTGTTGTTCCCATGGGGACCTTAAACCTGCATGGATAGGACCCTCTCCACTCTGTATGGGATTGTTCAGGAACCCTGCCCAAATTGTTGCCATTGGTATGTCCGCCCTATGCCAGTGCCTGACTTCCCATGCATTTTATTGTCAATAGATTATCTATTAGCCCCAAAAATGACCCAAAAGGAATTTTGCTTCATAGGATTTCAAACAGGATTTTCTGAACCCTCAACAGATGAACTGGGACAACATTCTGCAGATATTTCTGGAACGGGGACGCCTTTTCCAATGATGACTGTCTAAGAGGGGATTTCCCCTAATTTTGGAGAGATTTCTTCTCACTTCCCGTATCTCTAGGAAAAGAATTGACATGAGACACCTGACCAGGCATGTAAATAAAAGGTTGTGGAAGGATGATCACAGATTATACCTGCAGATGAGTTGTACTAATATTCATTGCTATGCAGACACAAGTTTCACCAGACAGGAAGTCAGAAGGAAAATCTGAAACAAGGACACAGGAAGTTCTAGCCTTGCCTGCTCTACTAAAGAAAAGCATTTTATTTCTGTGTTGCTGTTAAAGAGTTCCCCTCACTTCCTGTCTGGTAAAACATGTGCAAGAAAGGAAGTGAAGGTAAATCTCAACCCCAAAAAAACTTGCTGCCCTCATCCTCACCCTAACCCGTGGAACTTGGTCATCTCAGCAGCTTCCTGATGTCTCACCATGATTCCCAATTCAGCAACACGCTACTATCTGCTCTGAGCGAGGTTGCCCCGGCCATTATCTACCTCCCCGCTTCTATAAACATCTTCCCCTAGACATTGAAACCTGAAATTATTCATCAGAAGACTTAGGGTGTTGGGGTCATCCCTGACCTACCACATCTTACCTGTATCTAAAGACCCTAACCCCTCAAACCTACCCAACCCCCTTCCCCATTCCTATAAATCCCTCCACTTTGCACATTATGTCCCCTCTCCTCCAGGAGAAGACATTTGTTGTTGTGGAGAATCATTAGATTGGGACATGTAGACCTTCTTCTACTACCCCTGTTCATATGTCACTGCTGGTTACTATTCAGCTGATAACTCCCAGACTTCTCTAGGGATGCCCCCATCCTCTGGAATCCTCATCCCTGTCTTTACACTTTTTCTCCCAGTACTCAGAAATGTAAAATGTCCTGTCCTTGGCCTCTAGCCTCCTCCAGGCGGTGCTCTCTCCCTTGCCTATCATGATAAGTGCTTGCCTCTTGGATTGCAAACCCTTTCCTAGAAGCCCTCTTCTCCGCACGGGTCATTTTGTGTGTCATTTGTTGTAATAATGATAAAATCTATCAGGTGGGAAGTATGGTAGACCTCAAAATGTTATCAGATGTAAATTCTGGCCTGAACCTTATGGGAGGATATCCTGGTCAGTTGTATCGTCTGACATAAGGGGACAGGACAGAGTAGATCTCTCTGCTCAGGTTTCTTACCTGCGTTGAAGGGACACCATCTTGATTTACACTTCCTCTCTGAAAAAGAAACAATGTTACCCGGATACCGTGGCAGCAAAGACAATGTGATGTCATAACAGATCTTCTATATCATAGATGTCATATATCATAGATGTGATGTCATAGCAGACCTTCTATATCATAGATGTGATGTCATAGTAGATCTTCTATATCATAGATGTCATATATCATAGATGTGATGTCATAGCAGATCTTCTATATCATAGATTTCATATATCATAGATGTGATGTCATAGCAGACCTTCTATATCATAGATGTCATATATAATAGATGTGATGTCATAGCAGATCTTCTATATCATAGATGTCATATATCATAGATGTGATGTCATAGCAGATCTTCTATATCATAGATTTCATATATCATAGATGTGATGTCATAGCAGACCTTCTATATCATAGATGTCATATATCATAGATGTGATGTCATAGCAGACCTTCTATATCATAGATGTCATATATCATAGATGTGATGTCATTGCAGATCTTCTTGTTACATACAATACATATGAAGGACCTTCTCCTGTGTTCTAGATTTACAAGCTAATATCTAAAGCCAGCCTTGTATTATTTGAGGGAAGGCCTAGAACCCCTGTCAGTTCCCATTTGCTGCCTGTACCCATATTGGGGAGATTCATGCTCTCAATTGGTCCAGATGATCATTGTCATTGGAACAGGAGATGAGGAGAAATCCTCTATTGGGGGCCACATTATTGTGGTCTGCCATTTGCGAGGCGTTCTCCCCGCTTTGGCTGTCACTTCTTCCCAGCATATGCCTTCTGCCTGGCTGAGCTCTTCGGCAGCTGTACGGTCTGTACGGGGTATAGTGAATACTGAACCGAAGGGCTCCGGCAGCCAAAGAGAGCAGAAAGATCAGCCAAAGCTACGACTGGACCCTTCGGCAGCTGTGTGAATAGACCCCTATGTGTCAGGTGAATATTATGAATGGAGTTGTTACACAATACGCGGCCTGACGTAATAACAGCCACAAAGTATGGAAGCCCACGAGACCACAAAAGCCCCAAACAATTCAAACATCTGTAAACATCCTGGAGTTCTTCTTTAAGCCGTTTCCAAGTACAAATCCTACCGTGTGGAAGCTCTGGGCTATAAAGAGATAAAGAGGTGTGGACTTTAAAAAAGAACTCCGGTCAGAACTAGTTGGGCTATCCCAGCACTGCAAGGGTTATGTGCTCATTCCCTGTGCTCACTCCCTGCAGCCTCTCTCCTTCTCCAGCAGAGCCTCCTGGGTCCAAAGTTCAGGTGAGTTTACCTTTGTTATTTTAGCTCCCTAAACAAAATGAGCCCCCACCAAAACCTTGGACCCAGCAGGCTTTTAGACCAGTCCCTGCAGCCGGTCTCCCCCTCCAGCGATGGAATCTTCCTCGGCGTCCACACTTAAAATACATTGTATAGGATGTGCTGACTCACAGGATCGCTGCAGGGACTGAGCACAGGGAACAAGCATTTAACCCTTGCCGTGCAGGGATAGCCGCACTGCAGAGTTAAGAGTTCTTCATTAAATAAAACACAGATATGATTTAATATGGTGACACTAACCTCTGCCATGCACGGCAGCTACACGACGTCTCCAAGGATGAGAATATTGGGCTTACCTTTTGCCAGCTCACAGTTGTAAATGCTTGACTTCTCCAGAGACTTCAAAGTGACAACGTTCCTGTCTCCCTCCTTGGAGAAGTTGGTCACCTTAAATTTCTCGAAGGGTGGTATGAGTACCTCGTCCTCACCTGGAAAGAAGGAGAAGTTCTTGATGCTGACCCCATAACAGGTGTAGATGCTGAAGAAGGTGTCCTCGCCAAACTGAAGAGCATTCTGGTCATTCATGGAAGAAGAAGTAAACTGGCCAAAGCGGACGTTACTCTGACGTTCGGCCTTAAATCGGACTCCTCTTATTCCTCTGAAGACCTTATGACAAGCAGGAGTCTCTTCTACGTCCAACTCCTGCAGAGCTTTGGTCAGGTAATAGTGGAGGACCTTAAAGTGGAAGTTTCTCAGGTAATACTCCTTGGACCTTCCAGCCTGTCTCACAGCGTCATTGAAGAGCTTGTGAAGAGGCCCATTGATAGTGTACGCCAGCAATGCAATGGCATATTGGTCTTTGAAGCCCTTGGGTAAGGACGTTTGCCTCTTCTTCTCCTTCTCCCATTTAAAGGTTGCAGTGTCCCAGGCATGAGCAAACTCCGTATTTGTGGAATACTCAGTCTGGAAGAGCTGAGGAATTTCAGCCTCCATGATATCTCCACACCCCTTATACTGATCATCGAATGAAGAACGTGCCATGTCCAGAGAAGACTCTTTTGATGAAAAAACATCTCGTTTTGAGGTTTGTCTTCCGTCCACCTGACCAAAGTGTAGAAATACGGTGATTAATACCTGACACTGACGGCATGCAACAATATACAATGGGGGGAATGCATGAGACTGGAGCAGACAGTATTCTTATGGCAACCAATCAGCTTCTCTCTTCAGTTTGCTCAGTTAAGCTTTGAAAATGAAAGAGAGAAGCTGATTGGTTTCCATGGGCAGGGCCAGAATAGCCATAGGGCATACCGGGCACTTGCCCGGTGGACCGGGCCACACACAATCAGCCTGATTGTGTGCGGCCCTGCCCGCTATGCCCAATGCATAGCCTCAAGCACTAGCCTGCCCAACACTATGCATCAGCCTGCTCTGAGCCCTGGTCCAATGGACCAATGCTTGTCTGAGCAGGGCAGTGAGAGGGAGGGGTTCATCTGCGCCAGTGCCAAAGCTGGGGGGGCAGGGGGAGCATGTGCCCCGTGCGCCGCATCAGGAGGGGTGCCAGTGGCAAGGTGGAAACTCTGCAGGCACGGCCAAGGCCAGCTATGCACCTGAGGGTGCCGGGAAGGAGGGAGGGGTCTCAGAGCTGTGCCAGGCAGAGAGCAGCTGGGGAAACAGAGAACTGAACCGAAATGTGGGCAAGCTGCCAGCAGCCCTAACCCTGCACTCTATCCACCTGAGACCCTGCAGAGCCTTGGTGAGACCGCTCATATCCCTGCTGAGTCAGCACATAGCACGCAACCCTGGTGAGACGCATTTAGCCCTGCTGAGCCCGCACGCAGCATGTATCCCTGGTGAGACTGCACACAGAACTGGAGAGACCATACGTAGCCCAGGTGAGACCGCACACAGCCCTCCTGAGACTTTGCACAGTCCTCCTGAAACCCGCACAGCCCTCTTGAGACACTGGAGACATCAGGCCACCACCCCGATGCAACACAAAGTGTGTAGCTTCATATTATTCCGCATTGCTGTATAATGTATTGCTGGGATTTGTAGTCCTCTATAGCTGGTATTATTCTGTATTGCTGTATAATATATTGCTAGGATTTGTAGTCCTCTATAGCTGATGGTATTCTGCATTGCTGTATAATGTATTGCTGGGATTTGTAGTCCTCTATAGCTGGTATTATTCTGTATTGCTGTATAATATATTGCTAGGATTTGTAGTCCTCTATAGCTGATGGTATTCTGCATTGCTGTATAATGTATTGCTGGGATTTGTAGTGCTCTATAACAGGTGGTATTCTGCATTGCTGTGTAATGTATTGCTGGGATTTGTAGTGCTCTATAGCTGGTGGTATTCTGCATTGCTGTATAATGTATTGCTGGGATTTGTAGTGCTCTATAACTGGTGGTATTCTGCATTGCTGTATGATGTATTGCTGGGATTTGTAGTGCTCTATAGCTGGTGGTATTATTCTGCATTGCTGTATAATGAATTGCTGGGATTTGTAGTGCTCTATAGCTGGTGGTATTCTGTATTGCTGTATAGTGTATTGCTGGGATTTGTAGTCCTCTATAGTTGGTGGTATTCTGCATTGCCGTGTAATGTATTGCAGACGACGTTCCAGGGAGAAGAGGTAGTCAACCTCTCTCCCCAGTGGCAGATCAGCAGTCTGGGAGAGGAGGAAGCCGTCCTCCCGCCCCAACAGCAAGCCAGAACTGAGGATGTGGTTTCCCCAGCAGAAGTGCTGACACCAGGGCAGAGCACCACTGGCCTATGTCCCACACTGTTGTCTGTTCCAACCTTCATGGGAGAACAGGAAGCCGGCCTCTCTACCAGCACATGGCTTTAGTGTCCAGAAGATTCTGGCTTTATCTCTCTCCAGAGGCAGCATGTTTCTCAGAAAGGCACAGACGACATCTCTCCCCAGAGGCAGAACGTCCTGTGGTTGAAACTTATGGCCTTATGCTGCCCGAGAAATGCAGGTCCAGACCAATTGGGGGATGGGACCTAATTAGTCTACCTTTGGTGGGGAAGAAATGTCACGGAACCCACCGTGACCTGGGCTCCTGGAGGGGGTTGGTGGCCAGCCTCCTTCCCAGCGACTATGGACCTAGTATTATGGAGACCTCCCTTGTTTGGTTGAACCGGGTGTCCGGGGCCAATGGACGGCTGTTGCGGTGGAGCCTGGCCCTACAGACGTCCAATTTCACAAGCCAATACCGGCCTGGGAAACAGAATGCTGATATACTATCCTGCCAAACAGAACTGGAAGGGTGACTAACAGCATGGACATCCCCAAGTGGACCCGTAGAGGGTCTCACCGGGTCTGCCATCCTTTAACTTGGGGGAGCTATGTGACGACACGGTGATGAGTTTATAAGATAAATGTGTATTGGTGTTTGGTTATGTTTGAGTGTGTTATGCTGTGTGACCTGGTTATGGAAAGACTATCAGCCCCATCCCTCGTTATCTCCCATTGTTCTCTGAGGGAGCTCAGAACAATGACATTCTGGCCAGGCTGCTGCTATGGCTGTCTGGAGTTCGTTAGCAGGTGGACACCTGTGGTGTTGAGCAGACCGATGGTCTGGGAGGGGGAGGGGGGATGTGATGGGATTATATTCTGATCTCATCACTTGCTGTATAAAAGTTTGTGCAGTTGCTCAATAAACCAGAGTTTGTTTCACCTATACTGAGTCCCGACTAGTGACTGGGGAAACTGGGAGCTATAGATCAGCGGGTTCCAATATCTCCTCAGCAAGGAAGAAGACAGCGGCGGACATACTCCTCCTGAGTACGGGGGTCCGTCACAGTGCTCACCCCCAAAGGAGCCGCTGGAATAAATGGGTTTTCATCGCCTGTCTAGTCTGCCACAATAGCACTCACCTCCCTTCTGTGGTGACAGATAAAGCTGAGATCCAGAGTGAAGAACTTTATTGTAGAACTGGGAGAGAGGGTTAGGGTTCAGAACATCCAGGGTGGTGTGGGCTCCTTGTAGAACAAAGTTCTTGCTGCCATCACAGGCTCGGACCTTTCAGCCAGTTGTGGTGATTCTCAGATCACAGCAAAGGGTCACTTCTCAGGCTCCCCACACCTACTGAAGTTACTCTGTCATCCCCAGACTCAGTGTGCACACATGGCTCGGCCTTCTAGGCTTCAGGCCTAGCCAGATCAGTCCATAACAGCCTCCCCCCAGGCAGGACCCAGGGGAGAAAAAGCACCTCACATGGTCCGCCCCCAAATATTTATGTCCTCTTCCGGCATGCACCACTGGCCATGAGCCTTCTAGTGATTGGCTGGGGAGACACAGATATTCATAATAATCCCCTATTGGTTGGTCTGCTCTGTGGCAAGGACACACCCATCAGGTGTCAGATTCAAATGATAACAGATCAATATCAGAATGATTACAATGTGACAACTCTAGATTTATAGAGACACTCCAGCTTGACAGGGGCGCCGCACTGGTATTGGAGGAAATCAGGAAGGGTTAGTGCTGCAATATGGTCACCATTATGATGTGATCCTAATAGGTTGGACTTGATGGACTAATGTCTTTATTCAACCTCAAATACTATGTAACTATGTCCAAAACTGATACAATGCTTCGGCCTTTCACTGCCATCAGACCAGTAGGTGGATAAGTTAGGGCCCAAATAATTCCCATACTGGTTCAATGGATAAATACACACACACACACACACACACACACACACACACACACATAATTTATATAAAA